AGCTGGCATTCCTTGTAATGTAGGGTAGCACTTGTGAAAGGGGTTGCTCATGCTATATAGCGCTGAGGATGGGAGCGACCATAGGAAGGGTGGGCAAACTAGAGCCTCCAGGACACCAGGAGTGCTGAAGAGGCAAGAGGCAAGAGGCAAGGAAGTTAGCCGAAGAGAGTTCAATTTTTTCTCAACTTTTATTTATGTGTTGTCTGCTTCTCTGTCCCGGTATAAGCTTGTTGTTGCACGCATTCATTTCTGTTTAAAACTATAGAAAGGCAACCCGAGATCCGAGCAAGACCATCACTCCCGTAGCCGACGAGCCGAAGCCGGAAAAATATCTTGCGTGCGCTCAGATCTCGAGCTAACAACTTGCCTGTAACATTCATTTTGAATGTAGCGATTCGTTACACTACCTTTTCTAATTGTATCATGTTTTAGTTGTTAAATTGTTTGTCTAGAAGCAATATAAAGGAGCCTATATATATGTCACACCAAGCGACAAGGCAAGAAAAAATAAAGTATAAAAGCGAAAAGGTATCACAAAAATAAAATAATACCCAACTTTTATATAAAGGAATAATTAACGAGAAATTAAAGAGAAAGCAAAAGTATTCAGCCTTGACCTAAATACTTCTAATATTCTTGTTCCATGATCAATGCCTGATCGTATCGCCATAGAATAGAATACTCCGAAAGTGTTATAAATGGTTGCAAACAATCTTCCAATCATGCATAAAAACAGCGCATTAGTGTTCATTCCCAAGCCAGGAAGAAGAAGACACACCCAAGCCAAGGATTACAGGCTGATTAGTCTGACCCATTCCTCAAGAAAATGGCGGAACGGATAGTACAGAGAACGCACCTAGACATAAAGGGGGCCTTCAATTATGTAAACGCAAATTTCACCCTGAGCTCTTTCAACAAGATAGGAGTTGAAGAAGGCATCAGAACCTGCATCGGCGCAATGCTAACGACTAAATAGAAACCAGCCGAACTGAGTTTATTACACAAGATTTGTGAAGAAGGCATGAGAACCTAGATCTGCTCAATGCAAACGAGCACACTGATTGCAGCCGAATTGACTGGCTCTCATTGCAAAAGATTTGTGAAGAGGACACACCCAAGGGGGTACTTCTGTCTCTACTGCTCCGGCTGATAACCATGGGAACATACTCAACGGTGAAGAAGTAAAAATTACTCAACTTACTAATATTATTAATGCAATATGAACAGAAATATAGAACATTTGTATTGAAAAAACAATTAACAAAATAAATGCAACTACATGTACAAAGTCAAATACAGAAAGACTATTATAAATATATACAATCGGGATATTTAGATGTGTTAAATGTTTTAATAACGTCTCAATTTACAAAGACAATCTATTCGCATCTATCCCACCGTATCGATCTATAGAATCTATCATTAATCTATCTATCTATCTATCATTAACAATTTTTCTGCAGGATAGTGAGGGTGCATTAGACCAAGGCAAGATCAGCATAGCTTCTGCTGATGTTCATTCCTTGGCTTACTGGTGCACTAAGACGACTTGAAGTTCAACATCACCACCTTCTCAACAGAGGTCCACCGCATGGTACCTCCTGGAAACATACTGCGGTACGGCTAGTGCGAGAAGCTGTCTCCCGTAACTCCCACACCTAATTAATCCTGTGACTCCAATTCGAAAGTTGTTATGCCGTGGCTTTGAGGCGGAGCCACCAACCGTCTTCAATTCCCCTGCGATCGCGGCCTACAACTCACAATCCCGTTCGGACCTCATAGGGGAGGTTAATCCCCACCCAATATATAAAACCGACGGTGATAAGATGATGTGGTCGGAGGGAAGACGAACAGCCAAAGTCGTCTACCCATCAGCAGAAGAAGGCGCAGGTTAGTAAGGCCTATTTTATTCTGGGAAAGATAACCAGGAATGTGAAGGAAGGCAAAGAGGACCAAAGAGATCGACGGACAAATCAAGTTTCCAGGCAGTGGTCGGGGAGTACGAGTGGTACGAAAAGAAGCGAATCAAAGACGCCTTGCCATGATGGAGAAATGGAAGTAATTCGAGACCAGTCAAAAAAGTATAGGAGATGTCTTCAAGGACGAATTCGACGACACCAACAAGTTGTTCGACGACTTGATTATTGATGACGATACTCCCAAAACCACTGCGCAATAGTGCCGACCATCGTGCAAATCAACCTGAAACGGAGCTCGCAGGCTTCACTGGGATTACCGTCAAATTACTGTACTGTACGACTCGATAGGTAGGACGAGGTTTGGTATAATCATCAAAAACAACATTGATTCACTTTTTATACTAATCTTAGCACTTCAGATCTAGCAGTGGCCAGGTTTGTAGCAGCGAACGCGACAGTCAAACTTATAGCCTCCGGCTACCGGCACACACTTTGGGGAAGTAAGAAATCAAACGAGAGGGGTAATCTCTTTTCGATTTGTCGTAACATCACTATTTGTAACAAGGGCGTATCGCTGAATTCCAAGTACGGAAGAATATCATAGCTGGGAAGGGTTCCTAGACATAATTCTCCAAATGGAGGACAACGATTATAAAAAGAAAAATTAAGGTACATATTCTTTGAAATCTCGATGCTGATACAGGGGACAGCACCAAAACGCAATCCCCGCAACACTCACCGGGACAAACACGGAAAAATTGTACAGTCTAGGCAAAAACAGATGGATCAATGTCGGGTTCACTCTGTGACGCAGTTACTACCCATAGTTATATGTAGATAGTAGATCAATGTTAGTCTTAAACTGTAAATAATAGATGTAAGTTAGCTACAATATTTAAATTGTAGATTTAAGGTAGTTATAATACAGAGCGATATAAGCCCAAGGACACACAAAACCAGCACGAACAACACCGGCAGAGACAATACCAGCACGAACAACACCGGCAAACAAAAGACCAGCAAGAACAACACCAGCAGAGACAACACCAGCAAATAAAAGATCGGCATAGCCAACCTCACGGCAGAGCCAACATCGGCATAGCGCATACCCGCGGCAGAGCCGAGAGATTAATTAAGCCACCGCTGGACAGAGCCAACACACAGGACAGAGCCAACGATCGGCATAGCCAACCTCGCGGAAGAGCCAACATCGTGGCAGAGCCAGCGATCGGCCTAGCCAACGTCGCAACAGAACCAACATCGCGACGGAGCCAACTTCCTGATCGAGCCGCAGAGCCAACGATCGGCTGAGCCAACACGAAGTTAGCATCACCGAGATCGCGCCGAAGTTTCTGTCTCTAGGGACGTCTAGGAATGGGAGCCGGAAGCCGAGGGACTGGAACTAGGCTATGGTCACGTCGCCAAGGAAAGCACTTGACACTTCGTTTCGAGCTCGTAAGCAGAGCAGTTGACATCGCCCCGATAACTCGAGCACGCGAGTGTATTTAGCCAGTGCCCAGGACACGCAGCCGCCTCCACCAGGACGCGCAACTAGCGAGTGTGTGTGTGGCATGGATAGGAGTAATAATAAACACATAAGTCAGAAAACACTTCCTGCTGTTCTCTCTTCCCTTCGTTCCCCTCCTCTTCTTAGCTAGGGAGGGACCCGCTTGCGCGTCCCGCCGCTGATCATTTTAGATCCGTTCAAATAGCTACAGAAGGTTTATAAAAAAGTGCTATACGCAGCCAAGAAGTACTCTTGGATCAGTTACTGCGAATTGCTAGAAATACAAGATACAAACAGCAAAAAAATCACTGAAAATGTTTCTGGATACACACTTCCAAGGAAACCTAAAAGAAGAACCCGAAACAACGGAATGCCAAAGAAAAATCAAACAGATACAAGTAGAAGAGATAGTCATCATGAAACAAATCCATTGGGCGATAGACTTCTTTGACAAGTACAAGAGTCCGGGTCCGAACGGAATCAAACCAGCAATGCTTTAGACAACAAGAAAATGCACGGGTAAATGGTTGCAAGCAATCTTCCAATCATGCATAAAAAAAACACACATACCACTTCCGTGGAAGAAAGTAACTAATATTTATTCCCAAACCAGGAAGAAGAGGACACATATAAGCCAAGGATTTTTTGCTCCTTACAAGAAGAACAAAGATTCCTCAATTCAAAAACCTCAGATAGAGGGTATAGAGCCAGAATAATCGCAAAAAGCAAAGTATCTGGGAGTGATACCAGATGCGAAGCTGTAATGGAAACAAAAAATCAACAAAAGGGGTTAGAAAGCAAGCATAGAATTCTACTTTTGTACGCAGATGTTCGTGAAAAACTGTGGCATCCACCCCAAGATAATAATGGCTCTATACAGGTAAGACCTATAAGACCTAGACCTGTAAGACATAGACTCACATACTAGTATGCTGACCATGATACAGAATACAGGGTACCCGGACACAACGACATCCCAGGAAATGAGAAAGCTTTATTACAACAAAAGCTTTATTCTTCCTAAAAAGAGTCCAGACCGAAATTTACGACCGATGAACAGGTGGACAGAAGATCGAAACTATGCTTGCCAAATTATAACAGGAGACGGACTCCAGAGCTGATCTTAAAAAGTAAAAAAGCTTTCAGAACAACGGCAGTCATCACTGGCCAATAGACACGCACAAGATGGGCCTCCAAAAGTTGCAAAGAATTGAGTGAGGAGAACATGTACTGTGTTATTGGAAGTGGGAAGGCAGTCAGGGACTGCCATCCTAGCCTGCCTGAATGACACGGGCTGGTACTGGAGGGAGATGCGATGACTTAGGCCTAAAACGGTGTGGAATAGGGAAACCTTACCACCTAAACCTACCTACCTACCATCCTATTGCAACTACAATAGTTGATAAATATATCCCTTCGATATATTCTTTCTTTTTGTTAAAATAATCGATTAACTTTAAAGGTTTTTACTTATCCATTCAAAATAAAGAAAATTATAAAACCGAAATTAGACATTGCAATGAATGACGTAATCTATTATATTGGGTATTTAATTTTTCAGATTCAGTGTTTACCTTTTTCTGCGTGAGGCTGAAGTTTGCGTGTTGGTTTTTTTTTTATAACTTTCAAGGTGATCTATTAATATCAAAAGAAACAGCATTATTACGAAACATACAACGGTAGGCAAAAGTATTTACACAACGACCTATTTAAAAACCCAAACTTCTTTTAATTGTCATTATTGTTACTTTTTGACCTATTTTTTCTGAAATTTTCTATGCAGAGCACGCCGAAAAGGAAAAAGATAACGGTTCATAGGAGAATGTTAGAAATAAAAGAATGGATGCATGTAAAGTGTAGTATTGTTTAATTGTTTTCAGCCTAAATAAAAATAATTCTACTCAAATTTAATATTGTTTTTAGCGAAAATCTCGTAAGTTAATTTATTTATAATTTGAATAATTAGCGTTAAATTTCAATATGCTGTAATTAAGTTTATTAAACTATATCCAACATAAAGATGCATATTGTTTCTGGTTTTAGCATTGTCCTATGAACTGTTCTCTTTCGGATTCCATTTTGGCTTGCTTCTCATAGATCAATCTATTCGATAAAGAAAATTTCACAGGAATTAGCCGCCAACAAGAAGTGTAACAACAAAGAAGTTGCGTTGTCCAACTATTTTTGAATTTGTGTAAATTCTTTTAACGAACTCTGTACATATATAAATAAACCGAAGTATAGACCAACATACATATGGCGGTCTAACTTCTGTTTTACGTTTAAACTAACATAAGATCATATACATTAAATTAATCATTTGATTTACAATAAATAAATCCATTAATTTGCATTAATTTGAGCTTAATAGTGTTCTGTTACAGATGGAAGTAAAACGTCTGCTGATGACTGCCTAAAATAAATTATAATTTATTAATTTTATTGCACATAATTTAAGGATTATGTTGTTATACCTGTTTACCGCAGTATGATATGAACCTGGGGCTGAATTTGATCGACCTGCTCGAACAAATCTTTCAATCCGTGAGCCATTTGGCCTCAACGATTTCTCGGAATCACCTTTAAGGAATGGATTTCCGAAAGAATGTTTTTTTAACATAGTTTTTATTAATATAAGAGTGTCCAGTTTAGGTATGCTACGGACAACGGAGTTTATGTCTTCGTCATCCACTTGAACCAAACAACAATTTTCCTCCTCTGTTGGCAAGGGAAAGAGCCCACCAGTGGTTACCCATTTATTCCTCTAAAAATTGTGTACTTAATAAATAAAATTCAAGTAATCATAATTTTTTTTACACATACCTTTAACTGCGGAACTGATATTCTGTTATTAACATCTTTTTCCAACATTTGAATTATGCAGCTTTTTAAATTTTCTGAAATAGATATATTTTCTGGAAACACAACATCATCACTTCTTATTTTGTCATACAATAAGGGCACAGACTCAGCTAAAAAAGGTACATTTCCAAATATCAAAGAATACAGAGTTGCACCTAAAGACCAGACATCAGCTGCTCTTCCACAATATTGGTTCTTGATGAAAGAAATATATTTATAATTATATAATTATGAAAATCAGTAAAATTTCCTTCATACCTCTCCTAAAATCAGAGTTTCCGGTGCTCTGAAGGCCGGTGTTCCAGCAGTCGATCCATTACTTATTTTCGCATCATCTCCTAAAAATTCGTTGCACACACCAAGATCAGCAATTTTCACGTGCCCAAATTCCGTCAGTAATAAGTTCCCAGGCTTTATGTCGGCATGGATAATTTTTTGATAGTGCACTATTTATTAATAAAAAGAACAATTTTATTAATAAAAATATTTAAACAGTGTTATATAAATTAAAAGATGGCGTGATTAATTGTAATTTTGCACGCCCGTGTCGAGGAACAAATATAGGAGAGATTTTATATCTTAACCTAGCAAGAAACTCCCGCTCTTCGTCTAGGTCAATCGACCTGATTTAATTATAATCACAGTGTTTTATTTTGGCTTATTTAATGATAAGGGCTCTTCATATGTATCAGGACATTTACTACCTGTGCTTCCCTAAAATTTCCATTCTCGACATTACTGTCAACTAGTTGGGACGTCTCGTTTTTATTCATCTCGGAAAAAACGAAAAAAAAAACCGAAACTTTAAATTTTTTCTTAGAAATTTTTTGTCCATTCGCTCATCTGCTATGCAGACGCCACCCAAAGCTGGCCCCTCTGTCAAAGACGAGACATCTGTTCCGAAGCCTGGACTCCTAACGTATGAGGAGTAGCTTCCAAGCGTACTCTGCGTAAGAGCTCTGTGATCCCGAAGCCCCCTGGCAAGTCTGCTACCCCTAATATTTTAGCGGAGCCTACGATCCCTACTGGCTCCTCCCCGAATTCTGACTCTGACTTTCTACCTGAATGGAAATCCAACGGAATGGATCATGAGTTTAAATTGAGCACTATTGGTTGGTACAGGGTGCAGCCTAAGAGGAGAGAATTTCCTTACTTGGCACTATATACCAAATAAGAAACAGTTTCGCAGAGGATTACTGAGTCACGTTACCAGCAGTTCAATGCTCCATAATTCCATAATTCCCATAATCATTTTGCCTCACTGATGAGCGTTGATGGTGATGACATGGTAGAAGTCGATGAAGTTAGTGGTGGTCCACTTCTGTTAATACGATTGTACAATAGTTTGAAAAAAATGGACACTCCGCTATCAATAGGTACAATCCGAAATCTGCCTGCAATTCCGACATGTTCAGTATTTTCCAAATGATGCAAGAGCTTGAAAAGGTGGTCGCTCAGCTATCCCTCACAATGGCAGCCCAAACTGTGAGCCAGAGTCGGGAAGGATCCTCTTTGACAGTTCCCAGTTGTAAAGCCTCTGCATTGGTTGCTGGAACGCCCGCAACGTGTCATCAAATGTGAATGAAGCCCTATATTCCCATATGCCACAAATAGACGTCATGTTAATTACGAAGACGTCTTAAAATAATGGATTCAGCTTTACTCTTGTCGGTTTCGAATGCCTGAGAGTTGACCACCTCATGATGGTCTCCATCAGGGACGAGCATGATCTTAGCTCTGATCACTTGCTTCTGGTTGCAACCTTGTCGTCTTCTCCTACTACTATTGTCTCTAGATCCAGTTTGCTGAAACCAGGATTTTGTCTCACTGCTGGATAACTCTCTTGAGCTTTTCTCCTCCCTAAACACGAAGGATGACTTGGATTTAGCCATCACCATCCGCCTTCCAAGGATTGGGGAAGCTTCTGCTGTTGCGTCTTTGTGTGCTCTCTTCGCACATCCGACAAAAGGATCAACATGTTTATCAAGTTTATGGTTTGCGGCCAAAACTAATCAGAGTCGCATCAGGGTCTTTTAAAACAAGTTCCAGCGGAGAATTACTGATACCGAGTGGTTCATCCGTAACATTGACTTAGCGAGGGACTTTAGAGTTCCCTAAGTTCCCTAAGCTCACGTCAGACCCAAATATCCTTGCCAGGAGACTTGGATCTCGGCGAACTCGGCAAAGACTCAAAAGGATTTATCCCTTGGGCCTTCCAAGGGGGAATATTTATTAAAAACTGTTTAAACTTCCTGCCTACACTATTATTTTAGTTCCTAAACTAAATGCAAACATAAAAAAAATAAATAAATAAACTAGAATTCCCAAAGAAAACTAGTCGCAAAGCGTACCAAACGTTGAACGTCTTACATGCTGGAGCACTTAAAATCTTTTGGAATAAGATTCAAAATTAAAGATTGCATTTAGTTTAGATTAGGTTAACACGGTTTTCGGTATTCTTCAGATATCCTTTGACAATTGGTTGATCTGTACTATTCTTCCCTGTAGATGTTTGGCACGTAGAAGTTTTCTCAGCCGAAGTCTTTCACGTATCGTACGTATGAATGCATCGCCCAATTATAATGCAGCCAAGAAAGGGATCCCCTACGTTGGTTTGCCTGTATTTATTCTTTTGCTCTTTTTGATGTTTTTTGGGAGAAAAAATTTCTTATAGTCGGTTGTTAAATTTAAATCCGTCGGTATACAAACGTCTTGGGGAACCTTTTACCCAGCTGCTTTATTGTGATTTGTTTTCTCAATCCTGGCCACCATACCGGGATTACATATAGTGGGATGGGTTTAATTATGCCAGAATAGATCCACCTTATTTTAATACAATTCACCATATTTAATACCAATAACTTTTGTAGGCAAAAGAGTATATACATTAGAAATTCGAATTTTAAAACATAAACTAGTTCTAGCATTAAGCTGAAAGTAGCTGAAAGTAACCAAAAATAAGTACATAATGGGATGGTCGAGGGGGGATCTTGTACTTTAAGAATAATTCAAATTCTGATGGTACCTAGCATGTATTTATCTGTCCGCTCAAACATTTTCTACAAGCTTTTGCGGTTTTGAGGTCGCGAAGTGTTTAAAAAATTGTCTCGAGAAGAGAAGAGATGACTCCCACCACCTTGATATTTCTTGTCATAGTGGTTTCTCCGAGGGATCCATCCTGCAAGTGGTGAATCGACCGCAAATTACAACAAGATTCCAATTATAACGGTTGACACGACATTATTAAAAGCTATCTCTCAATGCTACGGAATGTTGTTAGTGAGCACATATTAGTTCAAAAGGATTTATATTATGGCCACTACATCTACAGTGCTTTTTCCGCAGATCATACTTTCCTTTCACTCCTTGAAAACATTATGCTTTTTTATAGTTGTTTTTAGAAAGAAAGATTGACTTATCGGAGTTAAAGACTCATACAACTCAATATACCAATCACTTAAAACAATACATAAGATTCAAATGTCATAAGGTTATTTTTCTTTCGTTGAGACAATTCAAGAAAAAATGTTTGTATATTCCAAACGAATCTGGTGATCTGTTAAACTGAGATCGGCATTTTCTACAAAGAGTAACCAATTTTGGTGGTTCTTTTTTTTCCGCCAGTTCTATTTTTGGGACATTTTTTTAGCCAATAAATTCTGGCCGCCATACCAGCAGAGCACTAACCAAGAATATATATCCTGTAGCTTAAAACGAACCTCTAAGTAATTCTTTTTATTCATGGTCAACAATAGAAGATTTAAAGCGCAACCAAAATCTTTTGATACAAATACTGGTATGATCGCTACAAAACCAGATTCCATTGATTCATTAATAAGCTATTCATACCCAATAAAATATAAATCATACAAATTTATATTTAAAAACAAAGAAGTAATGTATCTTTCATTACATTCACCCATGCATATAATATTTCTTCAGTTTCACAGTTACAGATATATGTAATCATCCTTTTGCATAAAATTAAAACGGAATTTAAACATAAGAAATAGCTGGAAATGCTTTGTCTCGAAATAAATAAAAATATGTTCAAAGAGTGGCAAAGTTATAATTTTTTTCTAAGACTATTCCGATCGTTGCTGTGGCAGGTATATAATATAGTCATGATCTTGCTACCTACCTATATACGAGATGGAACAGAAAAAAGGCTTACTGCAAAATTTTATTTAGATTCTTCATTTTGAGCTTCAAACCTGGGGGACTAGTTTACGTATAAAGAAAGACTGACGGACTAAGCACATTGCTGTCATAACTACCGCAGTAACTCTAACATCGGAGAATCGCATTCTACATTAACTAAATGAAACAGTCAACATATTAAGTAAGGAAATCCAAAAACTTACTCAAAATTTTCTCCAGCTGGAAACAGAAATTTCTGACAAATTGAAAAAACGAATGTTGCAATCATAGTTCAATTCTTATGAAGCTCAACATTTGAGTGGATGTCTTAGTGCTTTCGAGGTTCAGGTTGTGGCACAGTTCAATTTAAGAATTACCTAAAGCCTTTGAGTACACGAGGTTCCCTTTGATCAACTTAAAAAATAGTCTCTGATTTACATCCAATTCTTCAGCCTGCCACATATGCTAAGATTCAAAAGCTCCACCAAAATCAGAGGATGTTGTAAACACCACTAGGTAATGCCTACTTTCATTACAGATACCTCTACTTAAAATATTTACAGTTACGGTTTTACATTCAAAGTTTGGTATTTTCCGATTTTCATAAAAATAAAATAAAAATTCTAGAATATTATACTAGGGCTACACCTCAAATTTAATAAAATTCTGTTGAAAAATGACAAAGTTATAATTTTTAATTATATTAATTTCGCGATCGTTTCTATGGCAGCTACGTGATATAGTAGTCAGATTTTCATAAAATTTTACACAAAATTAAAGAATAATATAAAATGGCTATATCTCAAATTTAATAAAATTATGTTGAATATATATATATTTTTTTGAAAAATGTTCCGATCATGCCTATGGCCAACTGTCGTCCAATCTGGCCTATTCCGACATATATACGAGAGTATATAGAAGACGAACTGCAAAGTTTCATTCAGATAGGCTTAAAATTGAGAGACTAGTTGCGGTAGAAACGGACTGACGGACGGACGGACAGACGGACATGCCTAGATCGACTCGGCTGTTGATGCTGATCAAAGATGTATAAAATTTATATGGTCGGAGGTGACTCCTTCACTGCGTTGCAGTGACTGAAACTCTAATACCCTGCAAGGGTATAAAAAGTAATAAGATTACTTTTCATAAAAAATGAAATGCTTATTCAGTTTGTAGAAATTTTAGTAAAATATATATGTATCTATATATATATAAATGCTCTGCTCGTGTCTACATCCTTCATAGACTTGAAAAGTTCTGAACCGTTTAAGCCCAAATTTTTACACAACATGCGTTGAGGTTCCAGCTCGGTAATAGTCTACTTTTGATGTTGATAGCTTATCTGCGGTTGCGAATATATCAATTTTTTTTCGCGTTTCCCCGGCCCCTACTGCTGCGCCCTCTACAGGCAGCCATCTGAATCAAAGCATTTCCTGTCAAATATTCAAAACATATTAAAAGAAGAAATTGGAAATAAAAATTTTATTTTTTTGTTCAGGTTCAGTAAGAAACGAAGTCATGCCACCCAGAAGTCGAGTTTGGGTCGTCGTACTCGCAATACAGAAGCAAACAGACGTAAGATTACGAATATGACTGACGAAGAACGGGCCTCCATCCGAGAGACTTAGCGGCTGAAAGCAATGCACAACGAGGAATCAGCAGAAAGACGAGCTAGTAATATATATTTATGTTATACTAGCTGTACCCTGCCACGTTTCTCTGTGGCATATTGTGGTTAAGAGGGCACTTCTGAATACATCAAGGTTATGGCAAAAGCATCTTCCTGGCATAAGGTGAAGAATGCAGTCAGAGTTGTCGTAGGCGGATTCAGGACTCCTTCTTGCACATTTAGTTCTGTGAAATAGACACGTTGACCATTCTCCAAATTGACTGCCAAGTGAACTACAGCTGGATAGCGTTCATGAATTGGGAACGAAAAAATTCGCCATGCAGCCTCGTTGCTGCTTATGTATCTTCCAGCCTGGTATTGAGAGATTTCATCGACAACTCGTACTGCATTGCTGTCACCATTTTCTGCCTGAACACCAAAAACTGCCATATCGCTGCCTTTATTCACGTACTTGCAGTTATATTTAATCGATTTCACGGAATTGCAATATTCTACGTTGATGTGCGCTTTGTATGATTTTGACAATAGTGGTGAGTATGGAACCACCCAACGATTGTCTACCTCAATATCACCAATTCTCATGTTTAAAGTTGCCGAAGTCCCTCCATCTTCAGTTGACCGTCTCCTATACAGAGGATATCCATCATCCCCTGTTACGGTGTTGGCTGTAAATGGTCGAGGATATCGCTTGGAACACTTCCCGTCTACAATTCATGGTGAACATGGGTTGAGGGTACCACAAGGGCCATGAATCATGTTCTTGATGACAACTTCATGCAAATCCGTATCAACCTCGGCCCGTGGTATCTCAGCGCATATAACATCGTCGATTTCGTCTGGAGTAATTTTATCATACAGCCAAATCAGTATGTGCGCATGCGGCAATCCTCTCTTCTGCCATTCTACTGAATACATCCAGCACCGCACAGATCCAAAAACTCCATGTTTCACAATAAAATCCATCAGTGACTTGAGCTTTTGTCTAAAAACACGGGCTGTGATGTCATGCCTATCCCTATACGATTGTCCAGGCAATAACAGCTGTACTATCTCGTCCCAAGCTGGATTACATGTGAAGGTGATAAATAAGTCTGGACGGCCGTAGCAACGAACATATGCCATGGCACTTTGACCATATTCATGCATGTGGCGTGGACTTCCTATGTATGAGGATGGCAAAATCGTCAGCTTTCCAACGTTGGTTGTATCACGGTCATTCATCACACCATCCCGCAAATGGATATATTCCTCGGACCGAAGTTTCGTCTGATTCAATCGAAGGAGCCTGACAGTATATGCAGACCTGATGCATCCGGCCAATAACGACATTGCGATTCGAGCTGTAATCAACAGTCGGATTATATCTGAATGCAAGACGATTGTATTGCAGGTTTTGATCTGCTGCAAGCTGTAAACGCGCTTCAGCTACCCTTGCCCTGTCGCGTTCATTATTTTGAGAGTGAATCAAATCGATTGCTGCAGAACGCGACTGCCTAACTCTCAATCGTTTTCTCTCAAGCCTATCTGCTCGTCTTTCTGCTGATTCCTCGTTGTGCATCTGCATTGCTTTCAGCCGCTCAGTCTCTCGGATGGAGGCCCGTTCTTCGTCAGTCATATTCGTAATCTTACGTCTGTTTCCTTCTGTATTGCGAGTACGACGACCCAAACTCGACTTCTTGGGTGGCATGACTTCGTTTCTTACTGAACCTGAACAAAAAAATAAAATTTTTATCTCCAATTTCTTCTTTCAATATGTTTTGAATATTTGACAGGAAATGCTTTGATTCAGCTGGCTGCCTGTAGAGGGCGCAGCAGTAGGGGCCGGGGAAACGCGAAAAAAAATTGATATATTCGCAACCGCAGATAAGCTATCAACATCAAAAGTAGACAATAACCGAGCTGGAACCTCAACGCATGTTGTGTAAAAATTTGGGCTTAAACGGTTCAGAACTTTTCAAGTTTGTTCTTTCAATATGTTTTGAATGTTAGAAAGGAAATGCTTCGATTCAGCTAGCTGCCTGTAGAGGGCGCAGCAGGAGGGGTACGGGGAAACGCGAAAAATTGATATATTCGCAACCGCAGATAAGCTATCAACATCAAAAGTAGACAATAACCGAGCTGGAACGTCAACGCATGTTCAAGTCTATGAAGGAAGTAGACACGAACAGAGCTTTATATATATAGATAAATATATCAAGTAGTCGTTTCCTTTCAATTGGAAACAATAAAATAAATAAAGTGTAGGCATTTGTCTTTAAGGTGGTAAGTTGAAATGTGTTAATTATGTGGATCGTGCATTTGAGGTTCCAAAAGGACGACGTGCGAACGAACATCGTCATCAACAAGTGTATTCACAAAAGTTAAGCGAAGAAGGACAAAATATAAGATAAAGATAAGATAAGAGAAAATCCCCAATTGAGCCAACGCGTGAGGACACAAAGATCATTGGTAATATGATACCACTGAGAACTACAGCGATGATGAAAATTTTTATATTGGGCCAATGACGACTACATGCCGATATTGCAATGCGTTAAAATTCAAAAGAGGAACGGCTAGATTATGGTGCGCACCTGGTGGTGAAACGAAGTTCGCCAGGTTTCCTAGTATATACAAAAATTATGCGTTAAAAATGTGTTAGTGGGTATATAAAATATAAGATTGCAAAATCAAAAAAAAAAAAGTTGAAAAAATTGAATTTCCTTTTTAATATATTTTAAATTTTTTTATATTTATGGCTTAAATCGGCTTTGATGTTATTATTTAAATAAAGACATTAAAATCGATAATTGATGTTTTAAATTAAAAATATTCTAGGTGCAAAATTGAAATTCCTTAGAGCGATTGCTTGGTCTTTGTTTTGTCTCAAATCCGGCAAGAGTGAGTTTAGCTAATGTGGCGCCCCGGACTCAACCAGATGATCCCTACCATCCTACTTTTGATCTGACTCTCGATATTGGGACTATCCGTCCAGCCAAAAAAGTCCTCAGTTTTCGCAAGACGGGCTTTTTATTATATCTGAGTCGCCTCAAAAACAGAGTGTATAGTTTCTATGCTAAATCTAAATAAATTCTTAAACTGCCCTTTCCACCTATTTATCTTCTCGGTCCAATTTTACCGTTGAGATTCCTATACGAACGTACAGGGAGTATATATTTAAACCAAAATATACCGCGCATTAAAACCAATTCCCATCGTAAAGGGGCTCATAGCAAATACAGAACATGATGTAGTTCTCTGGAAAAAAGGGCTTGCTCTTGTTTCAACTGAATCTAAGATTCGTTAAAAACTTAATCTAAAATAGAGTGCTGTCAATGGTAATACCGAAGGCTATGTAAAAATGCCCTTTAAAGCCCATAACGCTTTAGGTTGGATATGTTAACCAAAGCTGTTTATTTTGTTTACAAGAATATATTGTCAATTTAATTTGCTGTAGCTAATGTTTAGTTAGGAAAAGAATAATGAATAGTAAGTGTCAGAGGTACAAACATTTATAAATCTCTTTATTTTAAACTCACAATATTCCAATCCAAGTAAAGAATCGCGGAAAATACTCAGAGCTTTTTCTTCAGACAATGGCCTATTTGTTGGTATCCTCAAGACTTCTCCTTGCTTTACCAATTCAAACACCATATATAAGGAGTCCTCCAATGGGTCGTCCAACACTTCAACCAACTTTACAACATTTGGATGATCTAGTTTTTTTAAAACTGCTATCTCTCTGTAAACCCGGTCAAGTGGAGATGTTGCTTTTTTTGGACCGCGGCGCATGAGTCCAGCTTGTCGTAATAGGCGTTTTTTTGAAAGAATTTTCATTGCATAATGTGTAGAGTCTTCTTCAGAATATGCCAACTTCACGAGACCATATGAACCCTAAAAGAATAAAAATATTTTACAAAAAGTAAAAGAGTAGAACCCAAAATATTTATGTAAGGAGCTCTAAAGTAATGGATATAACAATAAATAAAAGAATTAGTTGTATTTTAAATAACACTTTACAACGCTTTTGATATTAATTTGATGACAAGGATTATAACATTAAATATGTAAAGGATTCATTTTAAATAATCAGACTAAAAAAAAGAAAAACCTTACAATTCACAATATTTAATACACTAGCACTGTTAGTTTAGAATAAAGTTTGCAACGGGGAGATCTCTGATCTTATAAAATATATCTATGTTTGGTTAGCATTAACAAGCCAGATAGCTAACCAGCTAGTTGAAACTTTAACATCCTTATTTCTTTAAGTTTAGGACTTGGCAAAAGCCCTAATTGTAATACCACATATGAAACTCTATCCACTCAAACATAGGAAAATATTAAGAAATTAATTGATTTTCCGTCCTACTTTATCCGATAGCTCTCATTTAGATTTTCATAGTGTTAAGCTAGTTTAGTTATTGGGCCCCGACGGACCTTTCACTGACACTGTGCAATCGCCTTCTTGCCCTTATGCTTCAAAATTTTATACATTCCCGTATTTGACACGAACCATTTGTTATTTCTTTTCACAAAAAAGGGATCAAATCGGATACAAATAATGTAGAGGAATAAAATTGTCAGCAATTCCAAAACTTTTTGGGTACTTAATTACTCTTCATATGCAGCACCTTTGTATTTCCGTAAACTACCCATGTCAATATGATTTTATTAAGCAAAAATGAATAACAACTAATGTTTTTGAGCTATCGTCTTAAAAACTAAAGAGCTTTCAGACAAAGGTAGTTTATACTGATTTGACTTCGTTAATCTTTTACTTCTTGGCTTGAAACTTTATTTAAGTTTCCGGTTCGTGTTTTTAGATGGATCTAATAGCAAAACGTAAAAGGTTCTCTTAGAAAAACAGTATTCTAGAGTAGCTTAGGTATCATGCAAGGCAGCCTTTGGATATAATAATGGATAATAGCGTATTTTCTCATTTATAGGGTATCAAAATAAAAAGAATGGAAAAAAAAGAATTGAAAACAACTTGCTTAAATCTTAAAAACTAAAAAAAAATTTTAATGAGAATGAAGCATCGGCACGCCGAAGTTCAAATACCCTTTCAGATTTCATTTTAATTACTAAGAATTAATACAAAATAAACAATATCAATTTTGTTAATTATTATTACACTCAATACATACATTTCATTAAGACAGACGGGCAGGCAGACAAGCGGATATGACTTAATCGACTCGGCTGTTGATTCTGATCAAGAATTGTATATCTTTTCGCGATAATACATACGCCCCAAAACTATTCATGTGTTGTAATATGGAATTTTAGTGCCCTGAGTGTTATTGGTTTTCGCGTTGCATTTCCAGATTCGCAGCTTAACGTAGCCGATGAAAATTGATTCTGGTTCAGGAAAAAACAACGCAGGTTGTAGAAATATTGTTGTCTTTTATTGACTACTTTAGCCAGAAAATGGTGAAAATAATTGACACCTGGCAGGTAGCGATATATCTGTATAAGCCCGAACCCAACTTCCATTTCATTTGGCTTTAATGGACGGTGATGCACTACGGTCACTACAATGAAATGACCCGTATGAAACCAAGCACGTGCCTGTTGAATTAGGGGTGTGAAAAGAGCACGAGGAAATTAACTACTAGCGTTTTGCCAGATTGTTTGCCTGCATGTGTACTAAGTGGGGTAGAATTAAAGTTTTTAGTTTGGGAAGAATATCGGCGTTAGGGATAAGCGTGTTATAATTGCTTCTAATTCAAAGGAGATTCTACAGTGGCGCAACACTAAGGGTCTATGATCTAGTATTTCTATTTGGTACGTGAAAATTGAGCAGACTCAAAAAGTTAGCACTTTCCACGTCACCATGAATGACGTTATAGATAAAGGTAACGTCTGGCACAGTTCTACAATTGCTAAGGAAGGTAAATTAATTAGGAGTATTTTATAGTAGAAAGGTAATCTTTGATTTGCGTCCCAATTTAAACCGCATCGAGCGAAAAATAGAAAGTTCTTTTAACCCGATTCGATGCGTTTACTATGGTCGCTGTTCTGATGTCTCCAGCCACAGAATCTATAGGATAGGACGAACTAAAAAAATATATAAGGATTTCGAAAGATATGGGTCATTGAGTTCCGTCGAGCACCGTTTAATAAATCCAAGCACACCCTTGGCTCTATTCACCATCGACCAAATATGATCGATAAAGTCAAGTTTTTGGTCCAAGCGGACGCCCAAATCAGCGACTAAATTAATTCTTTCCAAAGAGCATCAGTTCAGCGTGTAAGTTGCAATCTTAAGTACGACACGAGAGAATGTCATAAGCTTGAAGGTAGAGTTGTTTAAGTTTAATAAATTTACGCAGCACCATGTCTGAAAATTAATAGAATCTGTTTGAAAATCCGACTGGCAGCCGACGCCCTAGTATTGCACGCACAGCTTGACGTCATCAGTGTACATAAGCACTCAGGAGTTAGTCAAGACTTTGGGCAGGTCATTTATATATGTAAATTGTAAACAATAAGGGATCCAAATGGCTCCCTTGCGGGACGCCAGAATAACCCTTAGAACATTAGATAAATTATTTTGAATGAGGACATTTTGCGACCGAATATTAGTGTTAATAACTTTACTTTATTAATTATTTTATTCCGTTCTTAATCGCTCAAAATACTGTTTTATAATTTTTTCTTGTCTTATCTCCTTACTTTTACACTTATTCGGCTCTTCTTAAACAGTGATCTGCCGCTCGCAGGCAGCTTCTCTTCAACCCCTTTTTCTCAGAGACACCCTTCCTCGAGAGAGTAACCTGCTCTCTCGAGAAAGCGCATCTCAATGAATAGTGTGCCCATAGTCTACTTATATTAATTGGCCTGTTACAACTCGGCCGTCCTGACATTGAGATAGCCCTCTATCTCTGTCTTGGTATTAACTAAATTATATATTTACAATTTCTTATAATATTTTACAATTTTTAAGTTTTGTTTTCTTTGCTTACTATGTAATATTTCCAAACTTTATATTCTATTTATGTTTTTATCCAATGTCTAATATTATTCAAACTCCAAACACCTTGATACTGATTGCTAGACAACTGTAGTATTTTTCATTCTTCATTTGAGCCTTTCTTTATACCTCTTCTGCATCTTTTCTAAGATCTTCTAAATTTGGACGCTGCCTAGTACTGCTATGAATTGTATTATTCATAGAAAACTATACTTATTTAATAACCTTATCCCAATGTACTCCCCTTTCCGGCTCCGTCAATTCTGCAATCATAGGTCCTAACCTTCTATTAATTCGTTCAACCTGGCCATTCGCCTGTGGCGATCCCTGGTATCCCTGATATTACACACTTGGGTCTACTATAATCTCGAAAAAAATCGATATATATTAATATTACTTATTTTGTATTCGTCGTCTTAGTTGTGTACAACCTAACGATTTTTGTAAATGCATCTACAACCACAAATATATGTTTTTTCGATCTGCTACTATCTACCGGTCCATAATGATCTATATGAATGATCTCAAAAGGCTTGTTGCCTTTTCTTATACTATGTAAAAGTCCATCTCCTTTACCTACTTCGGAGAGTACGCAATGCATTTTAAACAATTTTGAATGTGCTCTATGACTTTATCCTTTATATATGGAAACCAGTAGCTTTTCCCAATAACATCTAACATTTTGTCCCTCCTAATGTGACCCATTTCGTCATGTTATTTGTATAACACATGTTCCTCCATTCGATTCGGTACGTAAAATAATAATTTGTTGTCGTTACTCTTCTTATAAATCACGCCATTTCGCATTTCATATAGCTTATGCTCGCTCTCAACTCTAGAGCCCACCGTGCTATTCTTGGATTGAACTCGATTTTGTTGAGCGTTAAAGTTGCAATCTGTTACAATTTTGAACCGTTTTCCCAACAAATATATTCTAAATCTTCTTAACGTGTAAATGATGGGTAAAGTCTCTAACTCAAAACTGTGGTACTTCGCTTCCGTCGCCGTCGATCTTTTCGAAAAATAGGAAATAGGATGTAACTTGCTGTCTTCTTTCTTCTGCAGAAGCACAGCCCCAAATCCTAAAAAATCTAAATACTTGACCTTGTCCTGTAAAAATTTGCATTTGTCCATTCTCAGTTCTAACTTGTTTTCTACTAGCCTCCTAAATACTTCTACTAGCACTTTTAAATGCTCTTCTAAACTCTTACTTGCAACTAAAATATCGTCCATATATATGATTACCTACTTTTCCCTTATCAAGTCCGAGAATATGTCATTTTCAAATCTCTAGAATACCTGTGGGACTGTTTTTAGACCCATAGGCATTCGCAAAAACTCAAATTGCCCCAACGGGGTGGTAAAAGAAGTATATTTTACTGACTCTTCGTTAACAAATACATGAAAATAACCATTCTTCAGATCAAATTTTGTAAACACCGATTCCCCCATTAAATTATCCAAAAGATCATCAATTAATGGCATCGGATAATTATCTTTCGACATGATTTTTTTCAACATTCTGAAATCGATACAAAGTCTCAGTTCCCCCGACTTCTTCTTCACTAATACAACAGGAGAAACATACTGCGACTTACTAGGTTGAATAATCCCATCTCTAGTGTATTCCTCTAACATTTTTAACAATGCATTGCAATGCTTCCCTTTCACTGTATGACAGTCTCCTTGGCGCGCAGCGAAATGGTTTTGAGCTTTCCAACACTATGCTCATTTCACATTTAATTTTTGGAACTTCCGGTCGCTTCACTTGAACATAATGTGCTTCTAACAATTTGACAAACCTTTCACGCACCTTATAATTTACTTGCTCAAAAATATTATACAGTTGTTCTTCCTCACAGTCTTCTAAAATGTTTATCTCCATCATCTGCTTATCAAAATTTTCTCCCAAAAC